GCAAGCACTGGGCATTGTTTTGAGAACCCCTACACCCTAGGGGGATGGCCCAGTTCAGAGTCTTTCAGTCCAAATCCTTCTAAATGACTATGGTCACATACTATTTGACATCTCAAGAGACACCAAGGGGAAAAAGCCTCTGCCACTGGGAGAAATTTGTCTCCTCCCCACCCCTGCAGTGGCTGTTTCAGATGTGGCCCCTGGCCCAGGGGGACTCCGAGCTCATGGGCAGCCACCAACCCGTGATGGGCAGCCTTGATCCCTCCTAGGTTTGGGCGCATTTGCAGCATGAGGGCACACTGCTGTCTTGGCTGAGGACATGGCTTTGGTTTTTGACAGATCAGGGTTTGAATCCTGGCTCTGCCACTGACTGGCCGCAAGGCCTTCATCACGCAGAGCCCTGTTTCTCATTTGCAAATTAATGTCACAGTATCTGACGTGGCTGTGAGCGTGCAGCCTGCTATTTGCAAGGGAGGCCTTTACTCATTTAGTAAATGGTCATCACGAGCCCATGAGAGCCAGGCACTGTTGTAGGTGTAAATTCTCACTGTTTATCAATAAAAGCTGTCTCTGTAGGGCTCAGCTGGTGGATCATTCCTGTCCTGTTTTGTTTTTTCACTTTAAAATATATTGAGATATAATTCACGTAACATAAAATTTACCATTTTGAAGTATACAATTCAGTGGGTTTACGGGAGCGCCGCTGCGCTTCCCAAGCGGCGCACCATCCAGTGCGCCACCGGGCCGGCCCTAAAATTTACCATTTTGAAGTATACAATTCAGTGGGGGTTTTTTTTTCTTACTATATTCACATTGTAGCACAGCCATCCCCATTATCTAATTCCAGAACATTTCCATCACCCCAAAATATCTATTTAGCAGTCAACCCCTACCCACCTCCCTTCCTCAGCCCCTGACAACCACTAATCTACTTTCTGTTTCTGTGGATTTACATCTTCTGGATGTTTCATATAAATGGGATCATACAATATGCGACTTTTGTGTCTGGCTTCTTTCATTTAATGTAATGTTTTCAAGGTTTTCCCATGTGATAGCACGTATTGGTACTTAATTCCTTTTTATGGCAAATAAAGTCCCTTTGTATGGCCACACCACATTTCGTTTGCCTCTCATTAGTTGGGGGACATTTGGGTCATCTCCACTTTCTCGTCTATTGTACATAAGGCTGCTGTAAATGCTTGTGTCCAGGTTTTTCCTATGAACCTGTGTTTTCAGTTCTCTTGAGTATATACCTAGGAGTGGAATTGCTGGGTCATGTAATAACTATATATCTAACTTTTTTGAGGAATTTTCAGCCTATTTTATGTATCCCTGTTTTTTGTTGAAGGGGAATATCTCTTGTGGTATCTTTCAGCCTTTAGGTGGAAAACCTGAATTTTCTCCCAAGCCTAGTGACAGAGGGAAAGAATCCATACCTGTCCTCTGAGTGCCTGCTCCATGCTGGGCCTGAGATGGCCTGCGCACATGTTCCCTGTCCCCAAAGCTCTAAGAAAGAGGCAAGAATGACCTAAAATGCCAACTCAGTCTAAACAACCAAGGTGGGGGGATATTCGTCTTGGTGGTTGGGGTGAGAATTCAAGCTTCAGGACTGGTTTGATCCAGTGACTTAGCGATGTCATGAGAGACCGGTGTCTCTGCCTTTCCTTATACCAGGTCAGCCTCATTTGAAAACATGGTCTCCTTGTGTCACTAGATGGTGGCTGTTTCTGGGGCTCCATTAATCTCTCTTCCCTCAAGCTTGTCTAGAGAGAGAGAGAAGGTTGCTTCTGGATACTAGAATGGGAATTTTCTTTTTTAGAAACTTCCAGGATACCTATCCTGCATTCATTGGCTGAACTGGGTCATGTGCTCATCCCTGAACCAATCACTGCACCTGGAGGATCAGTTGCCTTTTATTAAAGCACCTGCCCCACCCCTAAGGCCAGGGTAGAGGCAGATTAAGGCAGAGCTGCCTAAAGGAAGATTGGGTTGCTTACTAAGAAAAGGGTGGATAGATGAGACAAATGGCATCATCATCCCCATTTCACAGATGAGGAAGTCGAGGCTTTAACATGTAACTTGCCTCTGTCGGCCCCCACAGGCTGGTCAGTGGCAGATGTGGGTTTAAACACCCTTGAGGGTCCTCCTCCTTCCCCAGTGTCCTGCCATTTCTCAGCTGTGGCTGTGGGTCCCTGGACATGGCTGTCCTGACAGCTGCAAGAGGGAGCCAAACACCATTGCTCAGAGTGCTGAGACTGTTCCTCAGAGTGCTGAGACTGTTCTCAGTGCTTGGACTTAAGGTATCTGGAACAGCATCAGGTTTTCAGGCCAGACATTTTTATTTTGCCCTAAAAGGCTTCCAGGGGGGAAACACAATTCCTAGGGACTCAGCTTTAATGGCTTCTTTTATAGAATTGTTCAAATTATAGATGGGTGAACTTGAGGAAACCCTGCTCAAGAATGCAGGAAAGCCGAACGATAAAAGGGGTTAAGGTAAAATAGTGGTGGATGGGGGAAATTTGTTCTTTTAAACATTTTTAACATTGTTGTTAAAAACCAAAGCAAACCCCCTGGTGCTGATTTGGTCTTGGGAGGCTGGGTTTCTTGGCTTCCCGTCCGCTTGGGGGACTCCAAGTGAAGTTAATTCCAGATGTGGACAGGCTGGGGCCCTCCAGCAGCTATCATATTTGCTGGCCTCTGACCCCTGTCACTTAACTTGGGGGATGGGGGGCAGGTATTGTGCAGTGGTCCTGACTCTCAGTCAGTCTCATCTGGGTTCAAATTCTGCTTTGTTGCTTCCAAGCCGGGTGTCCTTGGACAGGTTATTCAGGCTCTCTGAGCCTGTTCTGTCATGAGTAAAATAGGCTTGTCTTCATCTGATGCTTTTTTATTTTTTCTTTGGTATTAAATATATACTTGCTGATGATCTCTTAATTGTCAGAGCTGATGGATAGCCCCTTCTCACTTTTCTCAGTCTGCGTGTCAGGCCCATCAGCAGAGCACAGGAGACAGAGATCACTCCCTCCACTAACTTCCCTCAGTTTCTGGGACCCCATGCCCTCTTGGTGCCTCATTCTCCCTGTCTAAGTTTGTTCCAGATCCTTCCTCACTGGGCACTCCTGCGCAATCTCTGCTGTATTCCTCTGACCGCTCGGTGGAAGAGAGGATAGCTGGGCTCAGTCTTCATGTGGCTTGTCCAGCTACACGCTCTCCCCAGGAGAGCTCGCTCATTCTCGTGGCTTTAGACCCAATCTCTATGCTGAGGACTTCCACGTTTACAGCGTTGGCCCACACTGCTGCCCCGAGCTGGCATTTATCGAACTCTTATGGTGTGCAGAGCTGTGCTCTGAACTGTATCTGTGCATTAAATGACAGAGGCAGAGTGTTGAAGCCAGGAATTCTGGCTGGGGCCCTGCTCCCTCCCGCACAGGCCAGAGCTCATCTCTTCCAATAGATCACAGCCAAGCCCAGGCTGGGATGCCTGCTGCCTCCTCAACAGTGTCCTTTGGGTGTCAAGTAGGGATTTCAGACAACATCCACTAAACCAAACTGCATTGCTTCCATCCTCCACTCTTTCTCGCAACTTTTATAATCCCTCAGCAAATTCAATCAGTTTTGCTTTCAAAATATATTCAAAGTCGGTCGTTTTCCTGGTTTGGATGTTGCCTTCTAGTTGAGATGTTACCATTGAGGGAAACTGGGTGTAAGGTACATGGGACCTCCCTGTATATTTTTCTTTTTTCAACTCCCCGTGAATCTATAATTATTTCAAAACAAAAAATTAAAACCAAAATAAATTCTAAAGATGGATTTGAAAACTAACTATGGAGGATCTGACCATTTCTCCCCAAGCTCTCATAGCACTGCTCCAGGCCCAGTCTCCTGTTGCCTCCGCCTGGTCTCCCTGCTTCTGTCCTTGACTGCCATAGCCCAGTATCCAGGGGCACCCTCAGATGGTCTTTTAAAACCCAACTGAAATTCCCACCCCAGTGGTTCCATGTTATGCAGAGTGTGTTGGCACCCTACCTAAGGCTGCCGTGAAGAAGCTTCACAAACTGGTAGGTGTAGAACAACAGGGCTTTATTCTCTCACGGTCTGCAGGCTGCAAGTCCAAATTCAAGGTGTCAGCCAGCAGGGTTGTGCTTCTTCCATGAGCTCCAGGGAAGGATCCTTCCTTGCTTCTTCCAGCCTTAGGTGGCTCCTGGTGATGTTTGGTGTTCCTTGGCCCCTGTCTTCACATGGCTGTCTTCCTTGTGGGTGTGGCTGTGTCTCTGTGTCTGTACATGACCCTCTTATGAGGACACCAGTCATTGGACCAAAGCCCACCCTAATTGTATGATCTTATCATAACTAGTTACATCTGCAAAGACCCTATTTTCAAGTAAGGTCACATCCTGAGGTTCTGAGCGGACAAGAACTTCAGGGGACACTCATCGAGTCTGTAAAGAGAGTGAAGGCTTAAGCCTGCTGTTGCCTACAGGAGGCAGCCCTGCTGCTCCCCTCTCCCCTCTCTCCCGTCTCCTCCTCCTGCTGCTCCTTGAATTTCGCTCCCACCTGGGGCATTTACCCTTGACCTTCCTTCTGCCTGGAGTACACTTTCCGCAAATACCCATTTGGCTCACTCCCTCACTGTCACCCAGACCTGTTCCACTGACCCTTCTGTCATCATTAGGGCTGTTTTTGACTGTTCCCACCTCCTTGGCACAGAGCAAAATTGCTTCCATCCCTTCAAATTAAGTGGACCACGTGACCTGCTTTGGCCACTGAAGCATGAGTGGAGCTTCCCGGCTCACCAGGCTGAGACCTTCTGCCAGCATCAGCCTGGCTTCCTAGCCCTGCCTAGCTTTGTTTTCTCCATGCACTTATCATCACGGGGTTAGGCTGGAGGAACCGATGGCGAAGGCATGAATAATCGCGAGGCAGGAGCGAAATGATGTCTGTGCAGCCCTTCACCTGCTCACCGCCTTTCCTTTCTGTTCATTTGGCTGCTTCCTGTCTAGGGCAGAGCATCAACCCCAAGTTGGCGGGCCTGATTGGGCGGCATGGGCCCCAGAACAAGCAGCCCTTCATGGTGGCCTTCTTCAAGGCCACAGAGGTCCACTTCCGCAGCATCCGGTCCACGGCGGGCAAGCAGCGAAGCCAGAATCGCTCCAAGACACCCAAGAACCAGGAAGCCCTGCGCATGGCCAATGTGGCAGGTATGCCGAGGGCCGAGGGCCGAGGGCCGGGGGTTAGCACACAGACTATAAGTTAATAACAGAATTAAAAATAAAGGTAACAATTGCATTGTAAGCAATGCAAATATTAACAGGAATCCAGAGGGGCCCCAGCGAGAACCCAGCAAGGGAGCAACTCAAAATTCACTCAGGTGCTCATTCTGGAACAGAGCTGGAAGCAAACCCCCAAATCCCTTCCTACACAGAGCCTTAATTCTGTAAAAGTAATTAATGTAGAAATGCAAGTAGCAAAACATTATTGTAACAAGATGCCGATCCTGTAAATTTCTAAATAAACAAAACAGTGGCTACAATCTTGTTATACACATATGAAGGACAACTATGAAAACAGGCATAGGAGACTTCTGGAGGGAGGTCACCCCTTAGGAGCTGGGAGGAGGAAAAGTGGGGGATGGGGAGCAAGAGTTTGCTGTATCTTTAATTTTATTTACTAAAGTGAAAAATATTTGAAATTTATGGCAAATTTTAGTACCTGTTAAAATATGAGTGGTAGGTTTTTTTTTTATATGTAGGATTTGGGATAATTTTAGGTTTGTTTGCAATGCTTAAGTAAAAAAAAAATAAAAATAAAGGTAACATTTTCTTTGCAAGCAATTCAAAGATTAATAAAAGTGCTAAAGGTAATGCATTCCCATGTCAGCTTGCAGAAGGTTGCAACATTCAGGTTCTCACTGTAGGTGACAGAGCATTTAGTACATGACTTATGTAGTTCTTGAGGCTCTGAAGCAGAGGGTCCCCTATTTTATGAAGGGTACAAACTGGGCTAAGAGAGGTTAAGTAACGTGTCCAAGTGCACACAGCAAGTAAGTAGCAGCTCTGGGATTCTAACTCCGGGAGTCTGGGCTGTCCGTTACACTGGACAGTCTTCCCTGTTTGACATTGCCAGGAGGCATCTACCTGTCCTAGATGAGCTTTGGTGCCCCCAACAATCCTGTTGAGTGTTTTCTGACAATTCACCAGACATTCGCTGAGCCGCCATATGGGCCTGGCTTTGTCCTGGGCACTGAGGCTATGGCTGGGACGTGGTCCCTTTCCCCACAAGCTGATTGGGGAGTCAGACGTTGATGGCATCTGGCAGGCTGGGATCCTAAGGTGGTGCATTTTGGTCTTGAGTTTTGGGGCTGGGCTGGCCTTGAATGGCTTTTCCAGCACTGGGACATCTGTGGACAGCCTTGCCTGCACCCCTGCCCTGCTCATGCTCCCCTGCTCGTGAAGTAATGCTTCTGCTGGTAGAAGATGCCTCTTGAGTTTCCCCCAGACTAAAAAGAAAGCTTTAGATAAGCTTCCCGAATGGACTGTAGAGATGGCTATCCAGATTCAAAGAGCCCAGTTCATGGCCCTCTGCCCCTTCCCCACCAGTCGTATCACCTGGCCAGGTGAGCTGCTGCCCAAGGAGAGCTCTGACCCTGGCTCTTCAGGAAGCTATTTGCTCCGGGTCTGTCCAAGATATCCACATCTCAATCCCTGGAACCTATGAATATGTTACTTTACGTGGCAAAGGGAAATTAAGGTTGCTCATAGAATTACGGATGCTAATCAGCTGACCTTAAAATAGGGTGATTATCTTGGATTATCTTGGCAGGCTCAGTGTAACACTGTAGTCCCATGAGTCCTTAAAGAGAAACTTTCCTAGTGTGGTAAGACAGATATGAGGGCAGAAGGACAGAGTTGGAGGAAGGGGCTGGAAGCCAAGGGACATGGGCAGCCTCTGGAAGCTGGAAAAGACAGGATTTTCCCCTGAGCCTCTGGAAGGAAGGCAGCTCCGTGACACCTCGCATCTGCCTGGTGAGACCCGGTTGAGCTTCCGCACTGCAGAGCTGTGAGATAGTACATTTGTATTGCTGTAAGCTGCTATGTTTGGTAATTTGTTAAAGCAGGGGTAGGGTATGAATACAGCACTGTTTGCAGAGTGCTTTTCTCATCCTGCCAGTGAGCTGCCACACAACCGGCTGGCACCTGGCTCCCACAGCTGGAGTCTTCTTGTCGTGAGGAAGGGAGAGATCTGAAGTGCAAAACAGCCCTGGCCAGCTGCGGTGGGAGCTCTGAGCTGACTCAGCAGCTCCCTGTTCCTGGGCCTAGGTCTGTCCAAGGAAGCACCCAAGGGGAGCGTGGGGGTATTTAGGAATACGATGTGAGGTGGCAGCAGCAGCCCCCACTCCAGATTAACCTCATATGGTCAAACGTGTCTTTCGCCTCACCGAGCCTATCTGGAAACTTTTGTTCATTTTACTTTTTGAGGGAAGAGGCAGGCCCGCTATGGTTGGTGGCGCCTTTTTAAGAGCAGGGCTTCCCGACCCCTGAGGGGGCCCCTGGGGCCCCTGAATTGACTACACTGTGTCTACATGGCTCCAGAGTGTGTGTGCAGGGATTTTTGTATAGATTTTTTTCAGGCAGATGGACCCATTTTTTTTTAAGCGCCTCAAAGGGCTCTATGACGCCCCCCCAACCAAAAACCAACTGAATTTCTTTATTTATATTTGGGAGCCTCCTCTGTTCTGGGCTCTTGGGACCTGGGTTTCTATGGCAAATGCCCAGATGTGGGTTGCCCATGGGCGTGTGGGTGGTGGTTGTCATGCACATCATGTATAATGGCAGGCCAGAGGGGGGAGGTGACTGGGAAACCTGGCCTATGACAAGAGTGCAGACAGGACTTCCCCTGGGAAGTGAGCCGAGAGCTATGGGCCCAGTGGGGCCGACAAGGCCAGGCTGATCCCGGCAGTGGGACCCGCAGGTGTAGATGCCTGTGCTGGGAGGTTTTGTGTCACCTGTGAGCAGAGGGGAGGAGGCCATGGTGGCTGAAGGACTTCCCCTGGGAAGTGAGCCGAGAGCTATGGGCCCAGTGGGGCCGACAAGGCCAGGCTGGTCCCGGCAGTGGGACCCGCAGGTGTAGATGCCTGTGCTGGGAGGTTTTGTGTCACCTGTGAGCAGAGGGGAGGAGGCCATGGTGGCTGAGGTGGGAGAGGGGGCTGCACTTTCTCTAGGGAACCACGTCTTCAGTTTGAACTTCATCCTGAGCAAATTTGGAAGTCTTTGCAGAGTTTTGAGCTATGTATGGTTTGGGGTGCAGGTGATAGGAACATTCTGGGTACCTGAGAATGGTGGAGAGCAGAGTGGGGTACTGGGGGGGGCGCACTCAGCTGGGAGATTGTTAGAGGCTTTTGCAAATCAACCAGGCAGGAAGTCCTGGCAAATTCCATCCTGGCAAAGACTCCTGTCTATGTCTTAGAGCTTTACCAGATACCTCAGTAATGAGAGGGGGAGGAACTGGCCTCAAAGTCTTAGAATCCGACACTAGATTTCCCCACAGCATCTTCATCAGACCCCTAGCAAGTCTCCATTTACATACCCCCCAGGATGGGCCCCTTACTACCTCCCATGCAGCAATTCTACCTTGCTTGGAGTCTGCCGCCTTCCTCTGGATTTCTGCTCCCCGTCCCTGTTTTAGGTTCTTCTGAACCCTGCCTGAAAGTTTAATTAAAAAAACAAAAACAAAAACAAAAACAAAACAAGCCCTGGGTCCTACCCTAGGCTTAGTCAACCAGGATCTCTGAGAGTGTGTGTGTGTGCGTGCGTGTGTGTGTGCATGTGCTCTCATGCCTGTTTGAAGTGCCTTCCTGTGATGGGCTAGTAATCCTGCTGTAGGGCCACACAAGTTGAATGCTCTCGCACAGCAGCCTTTTGTGTGCAGGGGCGGGTGACACATGCTCTAGCATGCTGCCCGCTGAGAGGCTTTCTCTCCTGCAGACCGCCCCCGCCACCTCCAAACTTGGGGCTTCCACCGTTTTTCAGATGGTGTGGTTTGAGAAACTGGTCCCTTGCCTCCTTTCACTCCCTTTTCCCTGCCCACGTTTGGACCCACCTCCCTGGGAATGAGCCCCCTTCGCCAGATGACCCGTGGGGCAGGAGCTGAGCATGAGCACCGGTTGTGACTTGTCGGCTGCTGGGGCAGGCTGCGTGCAGGAGGCTGAAGCAGCGGCGGCATCTGGCATCTCTCCTGCTCTCTCACTTTCTGCTGCTCGAGTGGGTGGGGCGGGTGGGGCGGAACCGGAGGGACAGGGGAGCTGGAAGTCTCACTTGTTCTCACTTTTCTGCTAATAAGAGAGGTCCTAGTGACACACAGGCATTCCAACCACGTTTCCCTGGGACAGCCAGGATCCACAGAAACCTGGCATGCAGTGCAGGTGTGTGGGGTCCCCGAGGGCTGGGCTGTTGCTTGGTCTCAGCTCACATGCCCACGACCAGCTTCATGAGCTGTTCCCAGCTGTGGTCTGTGGGGCCTTGGGTTAGGGGAAGTGGCCCTCAGGCCACGGTTTGACCCTCCTCTGCTCATGCAGACATTGCTAATCAGTCATGGCACTTGCTTCTCACTAAGCCTGCACATGGCTTCAGGATCCTCCTTTACTCAGGACCTCAAGCAGCCAGCAAAGCGTGTGGGATGGATGTCGCCACCTACTGCCATGGGAATTGTCACAGCGAAGGATGCCGTCTCAGATTTCTGCTCATTGTCTATGGGTTCCAGAGGATACACTGAAGAGCTGAGCTGCTCAGGCTCTTCTCTGATGGTTCCCTTGACCTTGACCCTTGTATGTTAATGACCAGGCTGAGTGGTGGGAACAGGGCTGCAGGACTCCCTATTGTTGCCTCCAACCTCCCTGAACACCCCCCTGAGGGACTGAGCTTTGGGGCTCATTTCCAAAGTAAAACTTCATATCCCCCACACAGCCGTCTGCTGACCCCAGCCCAAGCTTCCTTATTGCCTGACCTTGACCAATGCCATGCCCACTGGCAGTCGTGGAGATACCTCCTCCCACTCCACTCCTTGGGGTCTCGGGGGGCTGCCCCTCCTGGGTGTCTCCCCAGCCCGCCCTCACCTCCCTTTGGTTCTTACACAAACGCCACTTCCTTGGGACAGCCTTCTGTTGGCACCCGCGGCACACCCGATCTGTCCCGCTCCCTCCCTTATTTCCTGCATGGTGCTCATGTCCCACCATGTCCTTGCTCCTTTGACACTCTTCCTGGGAGATACTTCGTGAAACAGTGACGCTGCTTTGTTTTATTCATTCCCATGGCTCATGTCTGATGCCCAAAATAGCATCTGCACACCAGGGGGCCCTGTAACTGTTTGAATGAATGAATGAATGAGTGCTCCAGACCCCTGATGGCAAGGGCAGGACATCAGAGGCACGCACCCCTCTGGAGGCTGACTGCCCACCCCTGGCTTCCCTGAGGTCACCTTGTAGCTAGTTTTGAGTGTCTCCTAGGAGCCAGGGGCCCTCATGTAAACAGACACACAATTCTGTTGCCATCAATTGACTGTCATCGCTCATAGGTTCACGTATCTTTAAAAGTTGCTTTTATAAACCATAGATAATATAGATATACAAATTGGGAATATTCAAAAAAGCTGATGAAAATAAAAGCAGCCTATGATTCAACCCCCTCTCCAGCAACAAACACTTCTCTATCTCTGACCCAAGCTTTGCTGGAAAACCCACTGGAGACCACTTTCTGATCACTGCCCCTGCTCGCCACACTTTCCACCCCTCCCCACCCCAATCCCCTTCCTTCTGCCTCCCACCCTCACTCATCCTCCATTTCATTTCAGAATTGCTCTCAGCTGTGGGTAGCTTGGGTGGCTGCACCTTGAGGGTTTCCAGTCTGTGTCCAAGGCTTCCCAATTTGCACTTGTGGTCACCATGCTTATGGCTCTGTAGGAGGTCAGCCTACTGCACAACTCCTATCACACCCATTTGCAGATGAGGAAATCAAGGCCCACGCAAGGGAACTTAGCCATGTCCTTCTTATCATTCTTATGAACTGAGAAGCCATGCACACAGACTTCCTGTGAGTCTAGGGAAAGCCAAAAAGTGAGGATGTTTCTCCCTTCGCCAGACACCGCAATAGCATGTCGGTGGGCTTGGAGGGCATGGTCATGGAGTTCAGATGGTTAAAGGGGGAGCATATGAATGAAGTATGTGGTAGTTTTAAATTTCCCTGACAGGTGGGCTGGAAGGCTGATAATAAGTAGCTAATTGCTATGAGCTCAGTACTGTGCTGAGCTGATCTCCACACTCAAGTCTACCCTGGGAGGTGCAGGTATTCCCTCTCCACTCTGCAAACCATGAGCTGAAGGTCTAGGAGAGCCAGTGCTTGACTCCAGAGCTGGGGCAGTCCCCCTTACCTGGTCCTGACTCACTGGTCAGACCCGACTCAGAGGCTGGCTGTGTTTTGGGATCTATACCTCCCAGATCTATACCTGTGCTCAAGCTGACTTCTACTTCCAGCACTGGGGTGCACCTTTACTGGTAGGACCAGTTGGGATGGGTTGGCTGAAAATAATAGAAACCCAGGTCAAATGGGCTTCAACCAGTAGAAAATTCACTGGCCACAGAGCTGAGTTTGGGTGGGCATTAGGGTTGGTTGATCCAGAAGCTCAACACTGTAATCCAAGCCCTGACTTGCTCTCTCCCCAGCCCACCATCTTCAGTCTTGCTGGATCTCAAGGCTGTGGTTGTGCAGAGCCATCAGGGCTTAATGACTTTTAATGCCCAGGCAATGGGAAGAAGAGAATGAGCACTTTCCCCTGGGTCTTTCTTAGGAATTAGGAAGGTTTTGCAGAAGCCTGTATATCCTGTTGGTTTGAATCAGTTCACTTGCTCTTTGCTGAACCAATTCCTGGCTCCAGTGATAGGATGTATGTTCATGAGCTTAGACCTGGGTTTCTAAGCCCATCACTGGGAAGGGGGAGAGGCTGCCATGAGGGTCCTGTACTAGAGTCTACCGGAAGGCTACCCACCAGGCCCATCCAACAGAGGCAGGGGACCTGGATGCGCCTGGAAGTCTCCCAACCGTAGGTCGGGTGAGCAAGGCAAGCCCCAGTTTATCTCATGGGCCTTTCCTCTCTCTTCTGTGAGCAGTTCTTCCCTTCTGCCTCATCCCCTGGTCTTTTTCACCATCCCAGGCCTTGAGGGCATTAGAGGAATGTGCCTGTGTGTTCTTTATTTGTGTGCCTGCATGTTCATTCCACAAATAGTGGTGGACGCTAGGCTTTGGGGATTCTACGGTGACTTCACAAGGCCTCTTTGAGGAGGCGACATTAGACCCAAGGCTTGAATATTGAGTAGGAGCCAGATATACGAAGATTATGGGAAGGAATACTCCAGGTAGCAAGAACGGTGTGTGCAAAGGCCCTGAGGTGGGCGTGGCTGGACAGCACGCTTCTGGCACAGAGAGAAAGCTGGCATGACTGGAGTTTAGTGGCTGATGCCTTTGGAGTCAGGCCACACAGGGCTTTACAGGCCAAGGGCAGGAATTTGGACATTGCTCTAAGTATGATAGAAAGCTCCTGGAAAGTTTTAGGGTAAGGAAAGACAGCTCATCATGATAAAAACACACACACAAACAAAAAAACACAATCCCTCTAGCTGTGGAGTAGAGGGAAGATTGTACTATGTGTGTGTGACAGACAGACAGATAGATTTCTGCAGTGTTTATAAGTGCTTAGTCCCTGACCCAAATGCTTACAAACTTACATACTTCTGGAAAACCCCGGTATATAATTTTTATTCCTCAAAGAAACCTCAGTGTTTTTCTGGAAGGTCAGTGGGATTTGACTTTCTGCCCTCTTGTTTCTTTTTGGTGGTGGTGGGGCTGGGGGCTTTGTCCCAGGCCCTGTCTGTGCACCTCTCGCCCCTCCTGGAAGGTGAGCACCGGAGGGTGGGTTGGCCTCACTAGGCCAGGTTGTTTGGAAGCAGATCCTTCCAGGCAGGGCTCTGGCAGCCAGTGCTGTGGGATGGGGATGGGGTTTGACTCCCTGCTGGAATCCAGGCAGATGTCAGTGTTTAAACAACACATGTGTATGAAGGAAACTAATGTCCACAGAAGGTTCCAGAAAGTGCTGTGAGCTAAGAAGGGGCTGGGGGCGTTGGCACTTTCCCCACTGGGGCCTTTGCTGGGCTGGAGGTGAGTTTTAAGGCTGCAGGTCAGGCAGTTCATACTGCAGCTCTCTGTGTTCACCGCTGCCCACACCAGTGCCCTAGACTGGGGGACCTTTAATGTGTGTGATTCTCTTTCCTCACTGGCTTCTGCCGCTTCGCTTCCTTGTCGATGCAGAGAACAGCAGCAGCGACCAGAGGCAGGCCTGCAGGAAGCACGAGCTGTACGTCAGCTTCCGTGATCTGGGCTGGCAGGTAAGGGGCTCCGGGCCACGGCAGCAGGGGCCCCCCAGGGTAGATGGCCTGTGCGTCACGTCGTGATTCTCATCGTGCCAGTCAAGACTCCAGGTGTCAAGTGGCCTAACTAGGGAAGAGTTGGTTAAGGAGACTGGGATGTCCCACAAAACCCAAGAGCAGAAGTGTGGTTGAGACTCTGAGCCTCCCTGGACAGGGCATTGTCACAAGGTCCTTGGGGCAACTAGTGGTGGGGTTCTACCACCAGGGAGCTTGTGGTTCAGTAGGAAAGTCCAGATTCTTCTCAGGGGATTGCGCCAAGATGCACTGTGGACACTGTGCACACAGCCAGCTTGGAGCCCTTTTGCTGCAAGTATGTCCTCGGGACTCGTGACGAGAACCCCGCTATCAGTGGTGCTGGGCACTGCTTGCATGCTGGTGCAGGAAAGAAGCTTCTGCTGGAAGATTACATGCACTGAGAGTCAGAGAAGTGTACTGATGTCTTGAACAATATTTCTGTGCTGACCAGACCCTGCAGGCAAGTGTGGCCTATGGACCCCTTATTGAGCAGCATCTGGGTGCCAGGCACCGTGCAGGGCAGTTTACACTATCACTGAATTCACACCCAAGCCATCATGGGTACATTGAGGCATGGAGATTTTGTTTAAAGCAAACTTCCAAGGTGTCACCACCGATAGGGGTAGAGTGGATGCCAGGTTTGGTCACACTAACACCAAAGCCCTCTTGCTGTGCCACCTTCAGTCCAGGAGATAGAGCTGTGGATGGGATGTGGCCATTCTGGGTTCAGCCCAGCCATGGGCATCTCTCCCTCATTTTTCATTCTGTTGGAACCATGAAATGCGAATGCCCATTTCTGTTGCCTCTGTGGACCCCCTCTGCTCAGGAGGGTGTGGTCTGGACCTCTGGTCATGGGCCTAGCATGGGGCACTCAACCCACGGGAGGACAGTGACCCACGTGGGTGGCGGGACCTGCAGCTCTGGCTTTCCGCGTGGTTCTGGACGTGCAGGGCCACACCCCATCCTCTCCTCTCTCTGGCAGGACTGGATCATCGCGCCCGAGGGCTACGCTGCCTACTACTGTGAGGGGGAGTGTGCCTTCCCTCTGAACTCCTACATGAATGCCACCAACCACGCCATCGTGCAGACGCTGGTGGGTGTCACCATCACAAGGTGTGGTCAGCTGGGGGGTGAGGGCTACGCTGCCTACTACTGTGAGGGGGAGTGTGCCTTCCCTCTGAACTCCTACATGAACGCCACCAACCACGCCATCGTGCAGACGCTGGTGGGTGTCACCATCACAAGGTGTGGTCAGCTGGGGGGGGGGTTGCTTCAGGGCCACCAGATCCTGCCTTGTGCTGCCTCTGAGCTGGAGCCAGAGTAGATATCTGCCCAAGGCCACATTCTGACCTCCATGGACCCCTTGCTCCACAAAAAGCTATGAAAAATTTTATTTTATGGCTGTATTGATAAAAAGATGAATATAATCTTCAACCCTAAAGTTCACTTATTTCATCTAATTTTAGAAATAATTAAAACAGTTTTGTGGGCTCCTGAAAGTATTATAATGCCGGCTACTGTGCCTAACAGCAGGACCGTGGCTCTCGGTTGGGAGCATAAATCCCCTCCACCGTTTAGACAGAGCTGTGTACAGGCTTGTCGGTGCCACAATCCCCTTGCAGAGCTCCCGTCTGCCTCTCCTAGCCTTGAACTTTGCAGTTCAGTCATTCAAGGGTGTTCATTGTGTTGATTGAGCGCCTGCTGCATGCAGACCCTGCATGGGGAGCTGAACACTGCATGGAACAGCACAGATGTGTTCCTGGCCTTGGGGCTTCATGTTCCAGTGGAGGAAACAGTGAAGCAGATGAGGAAGTTTCAGAGAGCGGGGCAAGTGCTAGGAGGATGGCGAACAGGATAATAGTCTAGGGAGATGGGTGGGGAGCAGGGCGGCTATTTCAGGTTGAACTTCTAAGGAGTCACTGGGAAGATTCAGTGTGATAATGAGATTAATGCTCTTAACTCGGCCCCCGGCACATAGCGATGAGTGTAGATATTGTTACTAGTCCACCAACAACCGTAGTGATAAGAGTTAGGGACTTTGTCCCTTAGCTTAGAATCCGAGGTTCAGGGACCTTGGTCATCTTGTTCCCTGCCCTGTATGTTATCTGGGCCTTTCCTGACAACTGTGCCTACCCTGGCTTGAACGCTTCTGATGACAGGGGGCTCACTACCAGGACTGCTCCCTCTGTCCAGCAGTTCTCTTTGTCACGGAGCTTTAGCACTCTGTCCCTGCCCCATGTAAGTCCTGAAGAAAAAGCTCATCTAATCCTTTCATTTGGTCTAGGCTTGCCCTTTGAGGGAAAGGGCTTTTTTTTTTCTTTTTTTTTTTAATGATTGCTTTTCCAAAGCCCTTCCTTCCCCTGGTTGTAAACTCCAAAGCCCTATTCAGGATTGAAGGTCCCTAGACTGGAAGCAGAAAGTCTTCCCAGCCTGTTCCTTGGCCTGGACATGTTCTGCTGTGCCACCCTTCCTTCCCCTGGTTGTAAACTCCAAAGCCCTATTCAGGATTGAAGGTCCCTAGACTGGAAATAGAAAGTCTTCCCAGCCTGTTCCTTGGCCTGGACATGTTCTGCTGTGCCACCGTCTCCCATAAGGACCTGCTCTGAGGACCGTGGAAGGAGACAGACATGTCTCCCCAGCTGCCAGGAGCACATCACTATCCTCCCCCAACCCCTGCCTTCATGGCCTGTGGAGCAGGAGCCCGACTGCCTTATGAGAACCTTCTTCAGTCAGCATTTCACCAGAGATCTCCAGGATCGAAATGAATTCTCCAGTTATTGTGAGATGATGCTATTGTGGTCATGCTTAAAAGGGGGCCCCTGTGAAATACTTAGAAGGAAAATGAGCTGATATCTGGAATTTGCTTTAAAATTATTCAAGAGGGAACAGGTGGGGGAGGGTATCAATGCGTAAGGGTTTGAAATTGTCCATCATAAAACACATAAAAAGCTTGCCGTCCTATGTCAGATGTTATAGCCTAAAGGCTGTGCACAGAGGGTAAGGGACTGATGTTTTTGCTTGGCACACACAGTGTGCTGGAAACCTGGAAATTTCACATTAAAAACACAACAGCACAGCCAAACCTCTGGCCTGTCCTAAACACTCGGCACATCTGATGTCACTGGTCTCCTTCAACTTTGATCAGCTAGACCAAGTGGTGGCCTCTCCCTTTAGTTTGCCTCAGTCCCCACTATTCCCTACTGGGTTACTCTGCCTTACTTTGCTTGTCGGTAGCACTTGTGTGGTGCCTGCAGGCATTTGAGGTTTTTGTCCCTGGCCCTTATCCTCTGAAAAGGGCACAGATACCCAGGAAGGAGCAGAAACACTGGCCCACTGGCTGGCTTCTCCGTTCATTCTCTGCGAGCCTTCTCCTTTCCCACTGAGGTCCAGCCAAGTGTTTGTACAAATCCCTTTTCTCGTACTTTTGTTGCCCAGGAGGCAGTAGAGTCTAGACCTGCACAATCCGATACGGTAACCGCTTTTACATGTAGTTCTTGAGCACTTGAAATGTGGCCGGTCTGAATTGAAACGTTTTGTAAGAATAAAATACACACCGGTTTTTGAAGACTTAGTACCAAAAAAAAGTATAAAATATCTCATTAATGATTTTTCTGTTAAGTATATGCCATAATGATAATATTTTAGAAATACTGGGCTATGTGAAATGTATTATTTAATTTCACCTGTTTCCTTTCACCTTTTTAGATGTGGCTACTAAAAATTTCAAATTACGCATGTGATTTATATTCCTGTTGGACAGGACAGGTTCAGCAACCTTTTTCTAAAAAAGGCCAGATAGTAAATATTTTTGACCTTGCAGGTCAGATGGCCTCCATGGTAACCACTCAACTCTGCTCCTGTAGTGCAAAAGCCGTGTAGACAATATGCAAGTGAATGGGTGTGGTTGTGTTCTAACAAAACTTTATTCACAAAAACAGAGTGGGGCAGGATTTGGTCTGCAGGTCATCCCCTGGTCTAGCCCAGTGATTCTCAATTTGGGGCAGTTTTGCCCCTCCCAGGGGACATTTGACAATGTCTGGAGACATTTTTGGTTGCCTCAGTCCCCACTATTCCCTATTGTCTTATTCCCGGCCTACTTAGCTCATCAGTGGTACTCATGCGGTGCCTGCAGGCATTTGAGTTTGTTCCTCTCCCCTCACCGTCCCCTGCACCCCCCACGTGCCCCATCCTCTGTAAGGTGCATAGATGTCCATGAGCAAGACGGAGCACATCTAGTGGGGAGCGGCCAGGGATACTGGTCAGCATTCTACAATGCACAGGATGGTCCCCACAACAAAGAGTTATCTCGTCCCAGATGTTTGATCTGGTGACTGAGTTACCACCTGTAAGCTATAAAAACTCTATACTTTGGTTCCCTCACATGTAAAACAGGGACAATCTCAGAACTGGGTTAGTCCATGGAAAGTGCTTAGAACAGGGAGTGCTCAGTAAATGCCACTCACGGTCATTTTGCCCAGGCAGTAGATGTTCCTTATGGAAATAAGGAGGCCAGACAAAAGGGACTTACCTGCTTCTCACCACAGTTAGTGTTTCCTTGTGTCTTCCAGGTCCACTTCATCAACCCGGAAACGGTGCCCAAGCCCTGCTGTGCCCCCACCCAGCTCAATGCAATCTCTGTCCTCTACTTCGACGACAGCTCCAATGTCATCCTGAAGAAATACAGAAACATGGTGGTCCGGGCCTGTGGCTGCCACTAGCCCTTCCTGGAATTCAGACCCTTTGGGGCCAGTTTTTCTGGATCCTTGGTCTCTCACTGCCCAAAGTCTCCCGCTGCCCACCTTGACAAGAAGCCAGCAGACCAACCACCTTTTGTGGGACCTTCCCAGCCCTACCTCCCCAACTTGAAAGGTGTGAGAGTATTAAGGAATTTGAGCAGCAAATGGCTTTTGACAAGGTTTTTGCCAGTGGCCTCCTATGGACAAGATCCTACAAGCTGCTGCAGGCAAAATCTAGCAGGAAAATATATATATAAAGAAAAATTGCCCAGCCATTTTGACAAGGTTTTTGCCAGTGGCCTCCTATGGACAAGATCCTACAAGCTGCTGCAGGCAAAGTCTAGCAGGAAAATATATATATAAAGAAAAATTGCCCAGCCACGATCATTGGCTGTGAAATCTTGGCCATGCACTGACTTGTTTCCAAAGGTAATTAGGAGTGTCGTCAGCCAGGCCACCCAGCAGTGGGAGGAAGGGGGCGTGGCGAGGGTGGGCACATTTGTGTCTGTGCTAAAGGAAAACTGACGCGGAAGTTCCTGTAATAAATGTCATAATAAAACCAATGAATGAAAATGGTTAGGATGTGATAGATATATTTTCCTAACAATTTATCCCCATTTCTTGGTTTATTCTGATTTCATGAACAGAAGCTGTGGCCGGAGGCCCCTCTATTCCATTCAGGTTTCATTCTGAGGCTTAGCAGAGGCCTGGTGTATACCTAGATTTGTCCAAATCCAAGATTTGGAGGGACGGGGAAAGGGTCAGTGTCTGCTCAGAGGAGGGGGAATGTGTTGACTTTGAAGAAAAAATATGTTTTTTTCATTCAGCTGGGTGTGAGGTGGCAGGAATTAAAATAGGAATGTGAAAGTAGACATTAGCAACTGGTTTTCCAGCTCTCCCCAGTGGTAGGAAATCAATGTGAAATTGTAGAGTGGACAAGGACAGCAGATAGGACGGAACTTGCATCTCACCCCTGATGTTCAGAAGCACCAGGGAAACCAGTTCTCAGTAGGAGTGGGGTAAACAGGGTGAGAGTCCGTTTTTCATCTAGAGCAGCATTCTGAAGCTGGCTGTGTCTTTTCATTTACAGACCCCTGTTAGAGGGCTCTGCAAACAAATTGGCTCCTTGAAGTAAGGGAGAGAGACGGCACAGTGTGAGGTCTGATGGGTGCAGGGTGTGTTGGACTTGAATCACAAATGGAAGGATCTAGAAGCCCTTTTGAGGGTAACATCCTAACCAAGTATTCTAACTTGGAGGTGGCATTTCTAATGTGGTTGTTGGTGTAAGCCCCCCAAGCCTTGGCCAGTGGGTCCCGTAAATGGTGTGCACCCATCCTTCAGCTGCAAACACAAAGCCTTGGGGAAGGCTGGGCTGCCTGGGAACATTTCCTGCATCTACAGAAAGAGGAAGGTTATCCAGGCAAGACATGTGCCTTGTGTAATCTGCTCCAGTGAGGAACTGTTTCTCCATCTCGATTTAGTTGGTTCCTGGAAACATTGGGGCTCTGTTTTTTTTTCTTTTATTTTTTCTTCTTCAATAGCTTAGGCTACAGCCTTTACTCTGCCTAATCATTGGGGGCAGTTCTTTTTTGGCTACATTTTATTTTGTTTGTTGGCAGATCTGGGGCTTATTGTGTGACTTCCTCTTGGTGCAAGTTTTCTCACTGCTTAATGCCCCCAGCAGACTCTGGCTAGCACCATTTGTACATTTAAACATTGTAAATAGTTGTTACAAAACAAAGAAATTATTTATTTCCATTCGAAGCTCTTTTTAAAACTTCTTTTAATTTCCTGTTCAGGACGATGAGCTCACTTTCCTTCAACCCGTTTATTTTCTTATTTAAGACTATTTATTAATGGTTGGACCAATGTACCCATGGCTGTTACATAGAGCAGTCCTTAGTGAAAACTCTGTATAAATAGACAAAATAAAGAGGGTTTTGACTTTGCAATAAAAGGAGACATTTGGTTCTGGTTCATGGGCCTGTGTGTGTTGTTTTTTCTCTCAACTCCTGGACATCAGACTTCTCTCAGTCCTCTAAGAACTCTGCCTTGGCCTCTACCATTAACACCCTGTTTATCATCCAGGCCTTGGGGACAAATGGGCGCTCGTCAATATTTGGTGCAGCTGTGTGGGGCTCCAAGCAGGAGAGATGGAACCTAAAAACAAATGTGAATTTGGTAGGCTCGACTACAAAGATCCTTGATTGAATTACAGTGCAGCTGTCAGCAGCTGTTTCAAAGAGGCAGGGGGTAAATTAGCTGTGTTTACTGCTAACATAGTTGAAAGATTTAGTCATCCCAATAAAATAGAGGAACAAGAGAGAAAAAAAAGGGTGGGGGGTGTACACCCAAAACTTTAAAGCAGCATCAGCTCCAGAGCTGACACTGTCCAGTGCAAATCATCCTGGCGGTTTGGGGGCTGCTGTTAGGGTCCAGCTCTAAATGTGGATGGTCCACGGCAGGTCTGGTGAAGGCCGGGGGCCCAGTGCTTCACTGCATACGGAGCCATGCTCAGCTGCACAGCGTGGAGAGGCATTTTGGGTTGCTCTTCACTTTGAAGTGCACACTAAGGTCACCTGATGGATGTTGTTAGAATCCCAGCCCGATACTTGGACAGGCTGCTAACTCTTCCACTATTGCCTCAAACGAAGCAGCCGCTCCTAACAAGTTCCAGCCCCCTGTGATTTCCAAACCCTCCTGTCAACGTCCTGACGTGCAATTTAGCTTTTGTTCTGTTTTCCAGGCTGGAGACCAGAGCCACAAACCTGAGGTCCAGATGCGGCCTGTAGACGTGTCTTAGTCCTCCTGCATGGTGTTTATACAATTTTTAATATGCACATTCATTGCCAACATGGTTTTGAAAATCAGATTGGGGTGGAAAACATCCCCAAATCTGGCTTCTCTTGAGAAATCGGCAGATCTGGCCACCCTGGGCCCCATTCCTGCGTAGCAGCTCTTGCCTGCAGCAGGGGGCAGCCCATGCTGCAGTCTCCACTGTTCCCTATTGTCTCTCTTACAGAGGGCAAATGTCAGCTGCCGTTTTTAAAATTGTAGATACCTTTTTATTTGCACCCATGTCCCTATTAAGAATAGGAAAGTAATAGCTACACTGGGAAAGCCACGACCCCCAGGAAGAAAAATGTTCTTTCGTTCACTGCTGGCCCACATCACCCACTTGGCCCCTGTAGGCATGTGTTTGTGGCTGCAGTGCCACAAACAGTCTTATTTTTTTTCTTTCCCCAGTGGCTGGCCAGTATGGGGATCCCACTCCTGGTTTCCACCTTTCTTGCTCATTTTCACCATGGAACATTTTCTCTTTGCCTCTCCTCCCAATCCTGCTCACTGTCAAGCACAGAGAGGTGAAAGAATTCACTCAAAGTCCCCAAGCTAATCGTTGCTGGAGCTAGAATTTGAACCCCAGCTCCAGGCTCACCCTAGTTGGGCTCTCCCGGGGCTGCTCATGAAACGTGGGAATGCCTGGCCCGCAGCTCTGACCCTCCAAATGCCCTTCCCCAAACCCGTATGTCAGTCCCTGAATCCAAGCTGAGTCCCTGAGCTGCATACATAGGGCTTGGGTGTCCCTCCTACTTCCAAGCCACGTGAGGGCCTCCACTGCGGGCAGGGCGCTTGACTCTCAGGTTTCCCCCACGACTGGGCTGATGGCCTGACCTGCCATACCATGCACCTTGTGCAGTCACAGTGCCTGCCCAGTCTCCTCCTCCATAGCCTGGTGACAACAGTGTATGGGCCTCACCGGGTGACTGGGAGGGTTAGCAGTGGCCACGAGGCCCTCCACGTGGGAGATTCTCACACCTGCATTTTGAGAGCCTCCTTTTATTCATATCTTTTGGAGAAGGTGAATGTCTGAGTTTCCTGGGGCTGCTGTAACGAATTACTACAAACTGGTGGCTTAACAGAACAGAAATTTATTCTCCCACTTCTGGAGACCAGACGTTCACAATCAAGGTGTCGGCAGGACTGTGCTCCCTCAGAGGCTGTGGGGGAGGACCCTTCCTGGCCTCTTCCAGCTTCTGGTGGCGCCAGGCGCCTCTTGGCTTGTGGCCGCATTGCTCTAGTCTCTGCCTGTGTCCTTATCTGGATTTCTCCATCTTTCCTTTGTGTGTCTTGGATAAGAACAATTGTCATTAGATTTAAGGTCCACCCGGATAACCAGGATGACCTTCTCACCTCTAGATCCTCAATAACATCTGCAAAGGCCCTTTTTGCAAGCAAGGTCACATTCACAGGTTCCAGGGATTAGGACGTGGATATATCTTTTGGGGGGCCACCATCCAGCCCTCTACCATGAGGTTACATGTCATTCTCCCAAGGCCTTGTCCCTCTTTCCCACCATGGGGTTTTGGGTCCTAACAGAGCTTATCTATCCAGACTCAGTTGGTTCTTACACTGCCCCTGGCTAGTGTCACCACCACCATCTCCACTGAGCAGTGTGAGCTCTGTAGCTCCCATGGTGGGAGAAGGAGCTGCTGGAACCCAACCTCAGTTTGCCCCCAATTGTGACACTTCTCCTGTGCCTTGCTGGTGTCATCCTTCACGAGCTGGGCTGGAGGTGGTGCAGAGACTCTAGGCCAGGATCCACCCTCGGAGCAGTGAGACCTTAACTAAGGATGACCACGGCTGAAGGTGGCCAAACAGGGATGCCCTTTCTAGGGGCCGGGAATGCTCTGAGGGCACTGCGAGCTTCCTCTTTGGTCAAAAGTGCTCAGTATTCATGTGCTCATTCACTAATTCATTGTGTGTCCACTGAGTGCTGGGCATCTCAGCAAAGAAAGGGTCAGCAGCACCACACTGTGACTGTCGTGAGCCTCTCCTGCATACAAAAATAAATAATAAAAAGTATTTTATGACTGTGTTGGTATAATGATAAGTGTAAACCAGGCTGAATTATATTCATTTATTTTCTTCTGAGTTTAAAAGATATGAAAATATTTTTGTGAGCCCCTAAAAGTACCATGGGCCCTAGGCACTGTGTCTACTGTGTTTAATGGAGAAGCCAAGCCTGATGATGAGCAATTTCATGCCAAGGAATGATGTGGGCCAGGAAGCCACAGTGAGCAAGGGGAAGCAGGAAGGGGAGGATGGTGGCCACGCATTTTGGACAGGGTGGTAGGGGGCAGGCTCCCAGGAGGGCCCTTTCAGCTGAGACCTGAAGGATGAAGGATGGAGCAGGCCCGTGAAAGCAACAGGTACTGGAGGAAGAGCATTCATGTGCAAAGGCCC